CACTTCCTTCAAAACCACGATTATATTATTATTATACTGGGTATATTTTGATTGTAATTTTAATGAATTCGAATAAATTTAAACGCTTATATAAAAAAGGAACTTGATAAATTATTTTCAATATTCTTTATTTAAGGCGTTAATAGTTAATGAGGAATCTTGAATTATATTGCCAAGCTTATTTACTAGAAAACTAAAATTGTATCATACGAGTACATTCATCATTATTTATGCATCATACCTACAACCTACATCGATAAAAACTAAAAATCTAGAACATTTTAAATACCTATCTATGAGTAGTATTAAACAACACTAAATGAGCCGAAACAGAAAATTATATCATATTGTCCAGTAAATCTTAATAACAATATTATAAAAATAATAATATCCACTACTACATTCATCATTCCCCTCAGAATCTAAAAAAGCAATGAAAAATGTAATATAGATGTGTTAAAAATATAGGTAAATTGAAAGTCGTCGTACATATTAATAACCTAATGAACCACAATAAAAATAAAATATAACTTATATACTATATAGGTATAGATACCTAATTAAAATAATTTATAAATTGCAATAGACAGTAGTTATCTATACATTCATTGAAGTTGATAAATTCTATTAAATAAATATTTTTTTCCCATACATTTGTACACATAATTCATAATATATTATGAGTGTGGTTTAGTTTAATATAAACTATAGTCTATATTATAGATTAGGTGGGTATATAAACTATATCTAATAAAGTATACATTGGTAACTACTATTATGGAGTGTATAAAAAATATTAAATGTTCACGGTACTCATAATCATTTTACAAGTAATAAACTAACCATGCATAAATAAATATGTTTAATATATTTAATCAGTAATCAATTATTCATAATCTAACTATTACATGTATAGATTGCTCCTTCTTCTTCGAATCTGATAGATATTCATCTCGTCATTCCATGTATGTACATAATATGTACATTATTATATTAATACCACGGACTATGAAGATGATTAATCTTAGTCAGTGGGTTTAGTGTTTACTAGGTATGTATTTTTATATTATAGTTTCAATTTCCAACGATTTAGATACTACTCGTTATAATGGTTACAAATAATTGACAATAATTTAGTATAACAATTAACAAGAATTACTATAGCTTCGGACTTAAATCTTGACACTTGAATATGCAGAAATCAGAGAAGGGATGGGGTCTTAGACCGCCTAAATATCCCGATAGCCTCCTAAAAACAGATAGCTGTTTAGTTGTTGGGATCGAAGTCCCCGCTCACATATGGATGTTAAAAATGTTAGCCCTCTTCCATGGAATCATAATGGATTTCCACCTATGACTTCTATTTCCTGGACTTTTGAAATCATAATTGTATTTTATTATATTAAAATACATATCTTAAATATCTCTAATTTTTGGTAACAAATATAAATACTTAGACATAAATTATATAATAAGTAATACACTAATCTAAATCTAAGAATAGAGAGGGATTGATAAATGAGGGGTCATTGATGTTTCTAAAAAATGATAAGCATATATTTTGAGCCTTTGAGGTATTATCTAATACAGTAATACCTACGGGCTACGAACACTTTGGTAATAATATGTTATCGCGAAATAAAATATATGACGCAACGTGATTATCGTTTGATTTTTTTGCCGACAAATTTCGTTTCACACATTTTTATCACATTTCTCCGTGAGTATAAAACTTAATTTCAACACCGTTGCCAATAATATTTATTATAAGGTACTATGGGTACCTATACCTTTTAAGTTTTTACAATATTTTTACATACTCATATATAGTATGATGTAACAAAAAGTACATAATATATTTGTATACTGAAATTTTTTGTAAAACATATAGGTAGGTACAATGGCATACCCAGGATTTTTAAATGAGGGGTGGGGGGGGGGGCTAAACAAAGTAAATCAGAATTTATTATCCGATATCTTATACTAGGCCGTTATTACTATATCCCGTAACCGTAATAACCTCTACAAAATAATTCATAATACGCAAAACTGTTTTCAGGAATAAAATGGTTTGTACTTTTCATTTTATTATTTAAGATTTATGCCAAAATAAGGCCTATGTGGGGAAGGGCTGAAGCCTCTTAGCCCCCCCCCCCCTCTGGATACCCACTGGGTAGATACCTATTAGATACTGTATGACTACAAAAGCTCTCCTTCATATCGGGTTTGTTGATGAAAAAAAAATGTATTCTTATCTACTATCTTACGAACTTGAAACTTTGTGACAATGAATGCCTACATTTTATTATCAATTTTTCAATTCTCATAATAGGTATACCTAACTATAATAATTCAATAAATATTTTAAGGTATATTTTGTGGTCGTAGTTCCAACAGTCTCTTCCAGTCCTCCTAGAACTTGGGTACCGGATATCGATTGCCTATTTTGTAAACCGTAATGAATTATTTATAGAAGTATAAGTGCTAAATTACTAGCATAATCAATGAATTAATATAATTAATAATTATAAACAATAATGATCATAATGTTTGAAAAAAACCTGATAACTTAATATTGTGATGAGTTTTGATTTTTACCAGTAAAAAAAATTAAACAATTTATAGAATATTACACATTTTTAATTCTTAAAATACAATAATTATAGGTACCTATGCATATTATATTATTATTATTATATTGTTATTATCTAAATTAAGATTTATTATGAAACACATTGGTACACGTTATTATTAATATTAAAACTTATGAAGCAAAGTATAGGTATCTAAGATTGAAGATTGTCAAGTACACTATTATTTGGTTTGCCGTTCCCGGAATGCGCTTAAGCTCATACGCGTCTGCAACCTATCAGATGAATGCGTATGCCGTATGTCCAGCATTTAAAACACGCGGCCCTCGGTCATATTTTTATATAGTATAGTATATGTTTTTTATAGTAGGACTAGTAGGTAATATTAATGAGCAATTAATTGAAAACAATTATACAATTTTCCTTATGCTTCACAACTATGATATAGTGTGAGCCGTGAGGTAGGTAAACATTATCTTACTTTTCTGTCTAATCTTCTGATAAACTGTAGTTTAATAAGTATTGTACAGTATTGTAATGAATAAAATTAAAAATGCTGCCGTATGTGATGAGTGATGACTTACGTGCCCAAATAAACAAAAAAATATATAGGTAGACATTAGCATTGAGTATAGATAGTATAGAGAAACAATGTATATAAAATATGGCCTACGCTTCCGGGGAGGCGGCTAGTAGATATTAGTTTGAAAAAAAATTTTAATAATAAATTAACCTCCATGTTAAAATATTTTAGTTTTCTTTATGAATTATGACTGAAAACATTATTTAACAATATTATCACTAATTTATAACTGATATATAACTATATAACTATATAACTGTTGCGGACAATAAATCATTTTCGATGTTTAATACGACTAATGCATAAGTCATGCTAGGTGATGATAATATTATTATAAATTCCGGTAAAACATAATTATACACAACATTTAAAAATACAATATTAACTATAGGAAATAAGTGAACGGAGTAATGAGTTTATTAAAACAATGAATATTTTTGAGAAATTAGCATAATCATAATCAGTATCTCAGGGCAACAGCCCCATAAATAGGTAAGGTCCACTTGCGAACTAAGGTTGAATTGTTGAAGTCTTAATCTTGGTTCTTCGTCTGTTATATCTAAATTCTACCTTTACGGCTTTACATTTATACAGAAAGCCACTTACGACATACTACATAGGTACATAGCCTCACAGGTATGTACAATAATACGACACACAAGCGACCTTTACATTAAAAAAAAAATATTTTATTATGATTATTTAAGATAGGTTAGGTACCTAATACAATTGCGTATTATTAACAGCCTAAGCATTTTTTTTACTTATTGTATTAATATTAAAGTTCAAATTCTTGATATATAATTATTACAATCTATTCATCCATTCAAATGAAAATAAGGCGTAGATATCTACTTTAATTTACAATAATATTTTGTAGATAGTTTATTTTGTATTCGTCGATCGAGGACGGGGAAAAGTAAAAGTATTCAAGTATCGTATATTCGTACGACATTCATTGGTACGTTTGGGATGTGTAATAGACAATGGTTGAATGTAATACCTACCTATTCATTAAATACGGTCAAAACTTGTTTGATGGCCATTTAATAATATTACAGATGGCGAGGTAGTAATCTTATCGAACGGTATAGTGTTTTATATCGTTTACCTCATAGATATAACGTCTAAGGTATTATAATTTATAATATGATACATTTTAAAAGGGAAATGTAGGCAATAATAATACATATTTGAAAATATCATCATTGTCCAACATTTTTGACAAAAATAATGAGTTTTTATCGTAAAATCAGTTTTAAGCGATGGACACCTGTGCTCAGTGATCTGCCATCAGCTGTGTGAGTGTGACCTTAGATCTGTGCGTTGTTCCCGTCGGTGGCAGTGTGGCATGGCTTCGTACATAATATTATTATTTATTAATAATATTGTTATTTATTATAGTCGCCACGGCAACGCGGTTAACAGAGTAACAGATGTCAACTACACGTAACCACACTACGTAACGACTGATGTCTGCGGTCTGGGCCCTGGGCCTGGTCGTTGGCACAGAATAGTTTGTGCTATAGACCTATTAACAAAAATAGTAAAAATAAGTTTTTATAGGTCTATGGTTTGTACCTACATAGTCTTAGTATAATTTCAATTTTGTACGAATAGTCCACAGATATATGTATAATATGTTTTATTAATATATTATATATCTGCACTATACGCTAAACAGTACACGGCTATACCGATCTCTGGTGGGGTAGATCGGTGGAAGGGTGGAAGTGGTTTATTGCGCGTTGTTTCCGTGGACCTGCGCAATAGGTCCTGTCTGACAAACCGTTGATAAAACGTAATCACTGTAAATGGAGCAAATGTTCTTATCATCGTTGTGTCATTATCAAAAAAAAAAAAAACACCAAAACATTGGCCTGTGGACAAGTGCCCCCTCATAACGGCAATGCTAAACGCCAAAATACAATTTTTCAATAGGCACAGCTGCAGCAGCTGTCAGTAGTAGTTGAATTCATTGTCCTTTTTTGGAAGTACCTCGTGTACAAAGCAGCAACAATCAAAAAGACGTTCAAAATCGCGGTCAAAGTTTTTACCAGCAGCTACTCTGTCTGCTTTTGTATCCATCGTCCTGCAATATTCAAGCGCATTTATGCTTATAAGCAGCTCTGCAAATGTAAGTTTGAAACATTTACGTAGTTATATAAACAAAAAATCTAAACATACCTATACACCATGTATGTTTAGAAACATTGTCCATGGGGTAAAAAAAGTGTACACTTGTTTATGGTACCTATTCAATACGGTTAGTTACATTTTTTTTGGGAACTGAACATTTATTCTTGGTTAAAAAAGTCCTCACAACTTTAAATACCTGATGTATCGATAAACACTCTTTATAAAATGTATTATTGGGAACTAATATTAAATTAGTAAAAAATAGTACCAGAATAGCTGCTCAACATTTACTTGGAACAGACTGAGTGTGTTACTGTGTTATGTACAAGAAATGAAAATTTAAACTATAGAAATATTTAATCTTGAACTTACACATTTTGCAGAAAAGAAAATCCTTACCATAAATGTACAAACATAGATAAATAAATAAATAGTACATTTTTTAAATTTAAAATTATTATTTTACCTGTATTACCTACCTTATTTGTGTTTAAATTCAAAGTTTTAATACTATTTCATTATTAAAGACTAATGTTTTAGACCATTACTGATCATGTGATAACACAACTTAATACATTTAATTATCTATTAGGTAATTATTAAAATTTCATTCAAAAATCTAAATTTCTAGATATTTAAAAAATAAATTTTTCTCAGATTCATGCTTGAGATACCTATTTTTCTACTCTCACGTTTTTATTGAACCTTATATTATATTATTTATGTGAATATTTATAGCTGCGCATTTTGTAGGATAATGCACTATTTAGGTCATTGTAAGACGTAGCTTCTTAACATAAAGTTTAAATTAGGTATTAATTGATCCATTTTTGAATTTTTGTTATTCTTATCCTATAGGTCAATTTTTAAAATATTTTTTTTGAGAATTCCAGAAGGTACTTAAAATTTAAACACTAATTTTTAGAATTATTTTTCAATTTTTACCTTGTACTTTTTTGTAAACGAATAAAAATTATAAATATAGTTTTTTCTTAATACACTTGACAGATTTTTATGATTAATATTTTGATTTCTTTAATACATTTTCCAGGATTTATACTTAATAGTGCATTCTATTCTGTAGTTTTTGAGATTCTCATTCATTTTTAAGGGTTTTCAGGGCATTTTTTGAAATTGTAATTGTATTTAGAAAGGTGTATTACAGCATTAAATTCACTGCCCTAATTATATAACTTCATTAAAAAAATTAAATAGTTAACTAAAGATGTACCTTCCATAATAAAAAAGATGTATACATTTTTTTTATAATAGGAACAGGAAGCGTGTTTATGTTGATTAAAATAATCAGATAAATTGGCTATAAGAATAGTTAGTAATAAATTAAAAGATCATTAGTATCATTAAATATTCAATTATTGTTAATGATTTATTGTTGTATTCAATATGCTTTTATTAATAAAATAAAAACAAATTAAATATTTTACCTTTTGTCAGTTATTATCAATTGTTTTATATTAATAGACCTATATGTTTTACAAGGTGTAAGGATTAAATTCTTTAAAATTATTTTCTTTGAATGTATGATAGGTATAAATTTACATTTTTTGAGTCATTAAAGTTGTAAAAGACATAAATCTTAAAAATATTTTTTATTTACATTTTGTGTTAGATATAGGATGTTGAAGACTTTAAAATTGTTCCAAAAATGATTGATAAAATACTTTAATTACTTAAAAACCAAAACACATGATCTAAAATATTTCAAAATTATTCTAAATGTATTTATCATGGGATTTATTATTTAAAAACAAAGACTTATAGCACTTATTTGATACAATAAATAAAAATAATATTTGATAAGCGTAAGTTAGTAAAAGCATTTTTATCTGAACACAGAAAAATTTAATTGCTACAAAAACCATCATTAACACCAATACAAATACCTATTTTTAAAAATGCAAACTTTTTAATGCTCTGCTGTATATTAGGTATTTATTCAGACAAGTTATCTATTCTGAAAAGTTACTGTAATGTATGTGTTGAATTTGATATAAAATTAATGATATATTTGAATGATATAAAATCATTGTTTTCAAAAAATGATTTGAGTAAAGATATTCTGTCAGCCTATAATATTATTAAGTACATTTTATGATACAATTGTGATTAAAGTAACTTATTTTATAAGGGTGCATAACAATTTTTAACAAAAGCATTCAATGAAACTTGAATGTATCTGCAGTTATTTTTTTAGAGTTACGCTTAAATAACTAAATCAAATTTGCAAAAATTAGTCTTGCATACAAATCTCAGTTTTTCTTTAATTTTTTGTTTGTTTTCCTAATGTTTTTGAAAACTATTGGGAATTTAATATATTTGATCACCGAATGTGCCAACTAGAATAACATTCCTACCTGAAAAAATAAATGTATAGAAAGTTGAAAACAATTATTTTTACTATCTGAAAATGTGGTGACAGAAAAAAAACACACATCATTGAAAAATCAATACATTCATGGCTACGCTCAGAATTAAAAATTATGTCTAAAAAACAAAAAAATGCATTGACCTATAGCTAAAAATGAAAAAAAAATGCATGCTTGTTTAGCATTGTATTAAGTCACCAATACCCCATCTCTAGTTATAACTTGACTAATACATTTTTTTGTATTGTTTTATTTACTTAACAAAATTATGTTAGAGGAACTTTACTACAACATAAAATGAGTCAATATAAACAATTACTTATTCAAGGTGTTAATTATTTATACTTGTTAGTTATTGACTCTTCAATGTTTGCTGAACTTGTTTAAATGTAATTGTTTATTTTTATTGTTAATTGGTATCAAGTGTTTAAATATACCTAAAATACAGTTATATTAATAGTATTTTTACTATTTTAAAGACTGTTTAACAATGTACAATAGGTACTTTTGTCATTAGTAAAATTGGTTATATATTCAACATTTATCAATGTTATATAAAACACAATTCTCATCGTAGTTATTATAATATTATGGTATTTTGAATACTTATTTAAAACCATAACTTTCATATTATTAGCTACCCATAGTATCTTTATACAATATTTCAATATGCTCAGAAAAATTATGCAATGATAATTTTACTACTTATTAATATTCTACTAGGTAATTTATATGAACTGATTTTAAATTATATTATAATTTATAAATAGCAAGTTTTTGTATTTTATAATAGGTAGCTAGATGTGATTAAGTTATTAAAAATAAAACCTTTATCTAATTACGAATAACTTGAATGTCCAGGTCAACCAAATATTCATTTTAAGTGCTGATACATATATGGTTTCTCATAAACAACAATGTATTTTGGTCTAAATAATTGAATCTTCTTACTTATTGAAAGAAAATCAAGAAAAACTAAACAAAAAATTATTTATTTATACAAGGGTGTTGCCAGAAATGTCATGGGAGACGGGCAACCAAATGTATTTTTAAATTTTCGCCCAAATTTAAAATTTTGTTAAATATTAATAATACATTTGTTAGCTATTGTCGACCATCCCCCCTTGCCACCTCTTGGTTACTCTCTTGAATTTATATATTATTACAAAATTAAATAATAATTTAGTTAAAATCACAAATTTATTAACTTACAGATTTTTTTAGACAAATCTGAATACTAAATAAGAATTGATTCAAAATATAAATTGTTTTAATTAGGTACAGTTTTTAGCCAATAATTAGTTTGTTCAAATTAAATTAAAAATGTATTTTCTATAGATACTTAATAAAAAAAATGTTGATATTTTATTTTTAACTAATTTGATAAGGGTTCTTTTGATTTAGATACTGAAATTGTAAGTAGACTAATTTTAGTAAGTCACGGCAAAATATTTATTTACATAGGTAGATTTATAATTTAATTACCAATATTTACATAGATATTTATTTGAACTAACACATTGTTATATTAACTAAAAACATCTTATTATATCTGAAAATATAATATAAAAAAAATAAAAAATAGTATATTTCAAGAAACATATTACCTATGTATTTTAAAAAAAAGTAAAATTGTAATTTGTACTATGGTGAATTTTAGCTTTTTACAGAAAATGATATTATATTTATATAATTTAAATAAAAAAAAAACATTTATTTAATTTTAATTTTACAGAGCACATGCCTTTTAAAATGACAAATCCAAACAAACATATTTGCAAATTACGTAAGTATAACTGTATAAGTATAGGAAAAAACCATGTATACTATCTTATTATAAGCCAGGTAATAAATAAGTATGTTTACATGACATTTTAGATTTTTTTTGATAAAATGTAGAATATATCGTTTTTGATAGTTGAATTTTTTTTTAAATTTTACAATGTCTGGTTCATGATATAACTATGCCCTGCTAAGCAAGAGTACCATAAAATCAATAATATAAGTTTTGAGAAAAACTCATGTTTGTATTTTCCATGTTAATTAACCTCTATAATTCGTTCTTCTATTTGACTTACGAAGAATGCAATAAAATAACAAATAACAAGTATTATTTGAGTATTAAATGAATAAAAGTTAATTATTTGTTATTACTTGACGATATAAGTTGCATATACTTCTATTTACTAAAGAAAAACACCGTAAGTACATTTTACAGCAATATTTCTTAATAATTAAAATTGCCTTTAAATTTATTTGTTAGATTAAAATGCTGTAAATATATATACACATGTAATAAAGATATGACATTAAAAATATAATAATTATAAATATAAACAACAGAATTTTGAGAACTGACATTGTTCTACACAATACTAACATTTTGAAAAATGATCATTTCAGTGATACACTGTTATATATTTCCAAAACTGTCCTATCTTGTGAAATTGCCTGTCTCAGGTTATTGAGAATATCATTATTTATTTCAACAGGAATACCATAAAGTCTTTCCAATGGTTAAGGTGCAGCCATTCCAAAACTTTTCATAACCTTTTTCTTTAAATGATCAAGCTCTTGAATTCTTTGAATGTAACGTTTACAATGTTCACTACAATCGGAAATATACTAATAAATAATTATTAAAATAAAATACAATTATTATAGTATCTTAACAATGACATAAAAAACCAGATCATAATGAAGATAACAATTCAGTACTAATTAATATGTAATGTATTTAGTTTAGAAAAAAGGTAGAAATAATGCTGCAACTTGGCTAGTACATGGAAATGTTAAGTCAAAACGCTGTAACTAATATCTATATTTACGGTTTTTATGTTTAGTAAATGTTAGATATGGTGTTCTTACTTAGTACTACTATTTTTTGTTGTTACTTATGGCATTTCCATAAAACATTAATTGTGTTTACAACATAAATTATGTAATTTGAGGGGTATTTTTTCAACAAAAAATGTGGTAAATAAGTCTAACCTATCAGTTTCCATATCTTATTTTTCTTTTTTTGAGTTACACTTTTGCTAAGCAGGGCATGTAACGTAAATAAAATTTTGCAAAGATACTGAAAATTAGTTGTCAGTTTTTTTAATTGATTTTTATTTTTCATAGTTTTTTTGTTTTAAATTAAAATTTTGAAAAATGTTCTGTAAAGACTTGTTAACGGTCTGCATTCAGAATTTTTTTCTATAACTTTTTCAATTATGAACAATAAATCAATACTGACTGATTATTAAGTGAGTTATTATCGAGATGAGTGTCCAACAACCATTTTTTTATTCTGATTGTATTCTTTAATATATTGGTTTAAATATGATTCCATAATACAATTTTTTTTTTTAATAATAGCTTTATTAACTTTTGTGTTATATAGAAGAATTTTCTGCACACAATGCAAACGTTACTTGTTTGGCTCTTGGTCAAAAGAGCGGCTTAGTATTAGCTACAGGTGGTGCAGATAATAAAGTAAACTTGTGGAAAGTCGATAGTGAAACTTGTTTTATGGTAATACTTACAATTCTATGTATTATAATTGTATAAAATGTTAGTGTATAATATTTTATTTAGTGGTATAGCCAGGATAATGAAATGAGGGGGGATCAAGTAGGGTCAAGTATAAATTAAACTAAATTTTTACAGTTTTTGTGTTTAAATAATGTATGTAATACTTTTCTTATGGGTTAAAAATGTTAATAGGGTGGGCGGGAGGTGTTAAAAACCCAACCTCTCCTCGCTATATCACTGAATATTATTGTATAAAAATTAGTTATTTAAACAATTTTTATTAATTTGTTTAGAGCTTATCTGGTCATGTAACTCCAATTGAATGTGTACAGTTTGATCCTTCTGAATATCTAGTGGGTGCTGGTAGCCAAACAGGTGGTTTAAAAGTATGGGACTTAACTAAAGGAAAAAAGGTTAAGACATTTAGTGGACATAAGTCAGCTGTTACAAAATTAGATTTTTTTCCTTTTGCTTCATCTTCATATTTTGTAACAGGTTCAAAAGATACCAATGTTAAGGTATAATTTTTATAATCATAGTATTTATATTAAATATGTAAAATAGTATTGAGTACCTATGTATAAACACATTACATTTTTTAGTTATGGGATTATCGATATTCACATTGCATAGGGATGTACAAAGGCCATGAAGTATCTATATCTAGTTTGAAGTATAGTCCAGATGGTTTATGGATCGCCTCTGGTGATGAAGATGGATGTGTTAAGGTTAGTTATTAGATATCATCAATATAATAATAGTATGGTTTATATTGCATTTCATAAAACTAAGGAAAGATTCATGTTACAAATTTTTAACTGTTAAATATATCTGCTATTAGTAAGTAAATAAATAGTAATAAATGTATTAATTATAATCAACTTGTGACACCTAACAATTATTTAATAGCTTCAATTTCAGTTTAATTAATTGTATTTATTTTATTGTCTTATGAATATTTTAGTAGTTAAATTATTATTTGTATATTAATAGTAAAATTGTTTTATTTTTGATATTTATTTTATAGATATGGGATTTGAGAGTTGGACGCATGATACATGTTTTTGATAAACTACATAATGGAACAGTAACATCAATTCAATTTCATCCATTAGTGTTTTTACTAGCTAGTAGTGGTACAGACAATAAAATTAATATATTAGATTTGGAGCGATTTAGTATTATATCTCAAATAGATACAGAAAAATCAATAATTAGGTAATAACATAATTCATACTAATTAACTTTCTGGTTAATTGCATGTTTTTTATTTTTATTTTTTATAATAATGTTTTCTTCAGATGTTTGCAATTTAATGATAAAGGAGATGTTCTATATGGAGGTGGTGATGATTACCTTGGTGTGTATGGTGTAGAACCAACCAGAGTATGTGATTCGGTGGTTGTAAAATGGGGAAATATGAACGAGTTAGTAGTAAAAGATAATCGAATTGTAAGTTATTAAATATTTTAAGTGTGATAAATTATTGAAATTATTGAAGTGGATACAGTAGAATCTAGATTGTCCGAACCGATTGAGACTGCATCTAGTTTTGAAACCTGAAAGTTTGGATGCTCGTAATTTTTTAATAATACAGGTTAGGTTAGTATATAATGTATATAACATATTATGTACATGAATATTACATGTATTACGAAAAACAAACATCATATTATTATATGTTACACCTATTGATATTTGTAAAAATATTTTAAAAAAATTGACTCTTTTTGACTTTTAAATACGTAAATTGTATTTGATATTTGTTCAGTTAATAAAAGGATCTTATAATAAAAGTTTGAATAATCTAGGTTCTACTGTACATAATTATTTGCTTAAAATTTTTGTTAGATGGTAATTTTTTTATCTTTGTATATTTTGTTCTATCAAGTTTTTGTAAAAACATGTAATATTTTTAGGTTGGTGCTTCACATTTATCAACAGACGTTTCAACATGGTTAATTAATTTACCAGAAGAATATCCTTTTAAGAATCAATTTTCACCATCTGATAATTCATCAAAGACTAATACTATGTTTACAAGAGATACTGGTGTTCGAAAAAGTTTTAATAAACAAAAATCACGAGAAATGATTAAACCCAAGTATGTATAAATAATTAATTTGTTTGTAAATTAGTTTTGTTAAGTTTTTGGAAATTTTAAATGATAATCCTATTTTAGAAATGGTATTTGGTTTTGGCATGCTTTTTGAAATCATTTTGAAGGTTCTAAATCCAACAATCAACTTGCTTATGTTTTTAAAATTTTAAACATAAATAAGGTTTTGATTTGAATTAAAATTGTGTTTTGTTGGTTAATTGTTAGGTCTTTGTTTTCATTTTAGTGTTATTAAACAAAAATAATAAAATCTTTAGAAATACTTTTAAAGATTAGTCTATTAGGCAATGCTGAAACTAATATTTGATTATGAAGTGGTGTATTTTATGCTAAAAATATTTGTTCCAAGTTGTTTATTGCTCCAATAATTTTTTAATTTTTAAATCTTGTATTTCAACACTGTGATCAGCAATTCTATTTTCCCAATCAGTACATATCTAAAGAAATATTATTCTGTCTTGCAAGCTCAACATTCATAACTGCCTAATGATTATTCTTTAAACATTTCATTAATGTATTAAAATTTAGTTATGTTACAAGTAGAATTATGCCCCACTAAAACTTAAGATTTTTGCATATTTACTATGGTTTTTAAAATATTTTATATGAAAAATATTTTAATTAGGTAATCTAGTATCCAAGCTAATAATACATTGTTTGTTGAAATCGTTTGAAAAAAGTTAAATTCAACGTTTGAACAATATGCACTTACTGTGATAGTAACATGGCATGGTAAACATTAATAAAATTACAAATTTGAACATTTCTTAAAATCTATTTTTGATATTGGCTAGTGAACCAGTGAACCATGTTAGCTTTCAGTATTTAATTTCTATAAAAGTATTTGTTGATTGGGTTGACAGTTACTTAAATTATTTTATTTATATTATTTTCAGAACTAATATGAAATTAATTGATGAAAGCGAAACTGATATTGATGACGAAAATCAAACTGTAATTAATAATGTTCATGATTATCATTCAGTGTTTAAGCCAAATAGAACTTGTAAGTATAGTTATTTTTATTTAATGGTAATTTTTGTATAAACAAAGAATTAATAATGTTGTAAATTATTATTTAGCGTTTAAACCAAGTAGAATATGTAAGTATGTCTATTTATTTTAATGTTAGTAATCATTTACAAATGTAAATGCTGACATACATTTAAGCATTTTTATGTGTTTGTGTGCATTATTTATAAAGACATTTTCCTATTATGTATTGTGTAATAACTGTATTTATGCATAACACAATAGAATTGAGATATACTATTTTATACATTCATACAATTTATCTGAATACATATTTGGAAAATACTTACAAATTGGTTTTATTAAATTTTAAATTAATAGTTGCAAATAAATATATATTCAGTATTTAGTAAAAATAAATTCCTTTTCTATTTTAGTTAATAAATGAAAATAAATGTAATGTGTATGGGGTACAATTTTTATACTTTTGATATAATTAAAATACAATTGTAGTTTAATCAATTGCGCCGATTTCAATATCATTGAATTTATATGTTCCCATGTATAATAATGGCTTATTAATTAATGTCCAGTTGAAATATAAAAACTTTACAAGTTAATATACTTAACAAACCAAAAAGATGTGAACACGTTCATAAAAAAAAAACTTCAATGAAAATCCATTTGAATTTAATAAACACAAAAATGATAAACTTCAGTTTCAAATAATTGTTTTAAATACTGAATATATTTAATCTCATATAAAAGCACTTATACTTTTAATATTCAGTTTGTAATAACATTATAACATTTTTTTTATTAAAGTTTTGTATAATTTTCAGTAAATAGGAGTCCACCTCCATTTTCACCTTTATCCGAAGATGGTAATATTTATATTTATTTTGTATTTATTAATTTTTTTAGTAATTATGTTAATATATCTTTACAGATTATCCCAATAATATATTTATTCCTGAAGGTAAGTTAATTCCATTTATAAATAAAAAACATGTGTTAATACATATTTTAATTTTTAGTAAATAGAAATCAATCTACTTCTACAAAATCAGAGGAAAAAAAACATAGTACTGGTATACTTTTCTTATATATTTTATACTGTGTCTTAAATTGTATTTTTATATTTTGTATTATATGTGCATTAACTAGACATTTCTCAAGGATTAATGCAAAGCAGTTATTCAGAAGCTGAAACTTCATCATTGGATTCTACTCCTTGTGATTCATTGCAGTTACCTCAGTTTGAGAATTCTAGTGATTACCATACTCCCGATTTACCAACTCCTTCATCAAAACCTGATAGTGTTGAGGCGTCTGAAAAAAGACACAATCCTTACATAACCTCATCAGTTTCAATGCGGAGTGTATCTTCTAATGTAATCAATGAAAGTTTATCCAAACGTCCATCTTCTTTACCAGTCTTTAGACAAAATGGTTTGAAAATAGTTATATTTTTACAAAATTATACATTTTTATTGTATACTTATATATTTTAGATCATTTTGCTTATGGAAATAAGTATACATCACCTCAATCTCAAAGAAAAATAATTCCAGATGAAATTCCATCATTAGCTCATCATAAACGACTGTTGGCTGATGATTTCTTGATTACACCAGAACATAAAAAGACTGATATCATGGCTAAGAAATTTGAGCTTCCCTTAGATGATTTTGGGGAATTAAAAAATGTTTGTACAAATGTGCGAAATTTTTTTATAATGTTGAAAAATACTAAATTATATAATTTTAATTTTAAGATCAAAATTTTCATTCAATATTACATATTTTTTAATACTTTTTGAATTGTTCAATACAGTTTTAACATCAATCAATATATTAAAAAGTGGTTCATACTTTGCTGTACATTGGATGGTGTAAAATTTGAATTCAATGATACAATATTATGCGAAAAACGATTATGAGCGGAGTAGTTCTGCCATTCAGCTTATATTATAATAACAATTTTAAATTACAGCAAAATAATTTAAATACTTAATCCCTGTTAAATATCTTATATCTTCCAAATTAATAATAGCAATAAAAAAAAACTGTGCTTTTACATTTTTGTGGAATTTTTGGCTTGAACTACTTATGAGATATTTTATTTTCAATTTTCAGTCCTTAGCTATAAAAACTGAAAATGTCATGCATTTTTAACTACAAAATTTGTTTTTGTTGTTAAATGTAGGAAAACTTATAGGGAATCTTGTATTCATTTATCTAATCTTAGATATAAATAGAAATATTTTTATGAATTTCTATCTCAATATAACTTGCACATTTTTGTAATTTTAACAATTTTTGTAAATATTTCAACTTCAAATACTCCTGAGAAATTATTGTTGGTTTACAATCAATTCATTTTTTCAATTATCTTTAATATCGACTTATAAATTAAATATTCAATTTTTTGACCTAGCGAAAAATTTTTAAAGGCAATTATTTTCAAAAAATCAAAATTGTTTATGTCTTTAAACAGCTTAATAAGAAATAAAAACTTTCAATAATTGAATGAAAAATATGTGTATGTATAGAACATTTAAGTATCTACGGTTATTAGTTATTTTGTCACATCAAAAAAATTTAATCGATTTGGTTTTGGGAAAAATTTTTTTTTTTCTGTAGCTCTGGGAAACTATTATGAAAAACCAACTATATTCACTTCCTCAACTTGAAAATTCTTAAGTTAAAGTCAAAGCATTATTTCTGCTGATATAAATTAATGTTAATGTTAACGTAATAGACAGAAAAAAAAATTTGTTTATATCAATAGAATCATCCGCTCAGAATCTAAAATATTCTATTGTATATTATTTTAACCATTAATTTGTAAATTTTAATGATATTTAATTTAATGAAAAAAATAATAATGATGAATCTGATTTATTTTTAGAGTTTAAATAATATCATTTATGATGAAGAAGACATTGTGGAAGTTCTTTATAAAAATCATAAGTCCACTATGGATGTGCTCAAAGAAAGACAACGTCATCTTAATATTATACAGACATTATGGACTAATAAAAATTTTAAGGTTAGTAATAGGAACTATATAATACAAATCATACCTATGTATAATATAATTATTTTATCGTTTTAGTGTGCTGTAAATTCTGCAGTTTCCATGAATGATGATGCTGTCATATCAGATCTCATTTCTATTATTACACAACGCCCGTAAATTATAAATTTTGCATTTTAATATTATGTTCTAACAGTGGTGTACACAGTACACATTTTTTATAATATGTGTGGTCCCGTTTAGGATTAACTATATTTATTTAAAAAATATATGTTAGTTTTATATAAAGATATGATTTTATTATCCTATAAGATAATAACTGATGAGTAGCCTGAAATAAGAGATACAATTTCTTTATTATCTTTATCATTATTATCAAATAAACAATAAAAATCTAATAATATTTGTTATTACGTATAAGATTTAACTTTTACTAAGTCAGATAAAAAAAACATTAAAACAGATTTTATTTAAAATTTAAAAGAAATTTATTAAGTTATTGGTAGCATTACAAATTAATTTTAAGAACCTAATTAAAATTACTCTACTAGGAACCTTAATATCATAGTGGTGTCTAAGAATTTGGTTTCTAGTTGTTATAGTAAATGATTATAAGATCAATTTAAATAATTAAAAAAATAAAAATTATTACGTATTTATAATAATATTTTTACTGTGCATTACTCAGCATTGAGTTCTGTGATTTTAATTCATATTTTGTTTGACGCTATCTTTGTTTACCTTTATCCACTCAAAAAATATTTGTTTATTATTTTCATTAAAATAATTAAAATAGACGTATTTGATAAATACTATAAATATAATAAATAATAGTTAAATGTATTATAATCAGATATTAACTTATCATTATTCTAAATAAACTGAACATCAAATGATAACTGTCGAAATCCAATATCTTTTTAATTATTCTATATAGTTCTATAATTGTATATTGGCAGACCAATTAACAGTTAATATTATAAGTACATTATAATTATCATTAGGACTCTTTATTTGCAATATTAAAATACCTGGCTTAAACAGAATATAATTTTAGATATCAAATTTCTGGTATAACCAGTATAATGCAAACCAACACACTGACAGTACATGCTATTGTTTAAAGACAGTGACAGTAGTGTGTATCAATACCTAGAAATTTGTTTCTTGTAATTTTTAACACAACACATATACATAGTAATTAACATCACTAAATAAAAGTATAATTTTTATCTAGATTAAAATAAATAACCATTTTGAACATTGATAATTTTCATTTGTGGTATTCAAAAAAAACTAAAAGGTTTTTCACCTATTACGGGTTCAAACACCTAACCTAACCATCTCCCATACTCTCGTGCACACCACTAAGTTTAAATATATTTTTACTTCTTTAATTTAAAAATGTACCTAATATTTGTTTCAGAAATCTTTGGTGTTTAGATGTTTGCAGCATGCTTCTTCCTTCTATATCTGATTTGATTCAAAGTGACAATGAGGTGTAAGTGCTTAACTAAATTACTAAGAAGATGAAGAATTAAAAATATGTTAACATTGTCAACCCATAATTTGTTAACTGTGTTTTTTGTTATTATTTATTTATTTTATGGACTGGGCTCATTGAAAATGTATACAATCTTTTATAAATTAATGAAGGTTCAGTATATAGAATTAAGTACTATAAGTCTACCAACATTGATGAAGATGGGATGTCTTCACAATGGCAAGAGACTGACTCTTTGTTGATTCATGTGCATAGTTAGAGGGGGTAGGAAGAAAATAGAAAGGAATTTATGATTGAGTTGCTTATTTTTCAAGAGGATAGATAAATTAAGTTTTCTTGACCAAGAATTTTTACCCAATTCAATGTCTGAGGTTAGTACGAGTTTCAACATTAAGTGAATTAGAGTTAGGACTGAAGTAATGTGGTGGATGGGGTAATTGTAAAATTAATGTGAGTTGCAGTACTAAGTTTTCAAAGATAGATCAAGTTTAAAATCCTGCTTAAGTCTTTTTATAAATTCAAGTATCTTTTAAGCTGTAAAGTAAATCATATTGATATGTAGTATAACATCTAAGGTACTATTAAATTTGAAATCTTTGTCTATTACTCATCTATCATAACATAAAATATTTGAGTTGAATAGTAATAGCACCTAGTAATGATTGAACCTTTTTTTTTAGTGAATTACAAGACATGTAACTCTACAGGATATTAGTATTAAGCTTAAAAACTGAGACCATTCAAAGAAATTGAAGACCTACCTTTCATAAAGTTTTTCATGTCATCAGTAAAACAGTAGTTCGTTGTGATTCAATAATTTACATGCACTATAGACTAATTATGAAAATAGTAGTGATAATAAGTGCCCTCCTACTTGAAACACCAGAGAAAGACAAAGAAAACATTTAGAAAATATATCAACACTTTTACTATTGAGTACCTATCACAAATATAAAAAAAAAATAAGATGAGGCTGTTGAAACCAGATTCCCTAAGTATCTGAATTACTATCTTGTGATTAGTTGAGTGAAAAGCCTTTTTAAAACTAATTGTGTATTATAGTACTTGAAAACACATTAAACAAAAATATTGTGAATATAACACATACATCTTTATACTCTCATTTTTATCTTAGTATCTTATTAAAACTAATAATAAGCTCATTTATGTCATAGTCTTAATTTTGCTAACTTTTCTTAGTTGATTGTTTTGGTTTGGAGAAAATGAGTCTCAAAATAGAGCTGTTAATGATTTAAATTTTCTTTAAGTAGGAATGGATTCCAATGAATCAGTTTTGACATGAACATTTATGACATTTAGTTTGGTTGGGGGGGCTTATCTGAAATTAGTAGGATATTATTTTTATTGCACTTTTTATCAGTTGCTATGATGACATCATTCCGATGATGAATGTATAAATTAAAATATTTTTTTAACTTTTTGTTGTTCATAAGACCAAAGATTTAATGTCTTCCCAATGAAATATAGGGGTCTGAAATATTTTTTTATAATTGTTGATGAAAAATTTAATTAAAATTAATGGTTTTTTATTGAAATGTCAAAATTGATTTTTAGAATATAAATACATCTAGCTTGAGTGTGATGCATACAACGGACTGATGGACATTCTAATGGTGTTTTTTTTAAATCTCCTAATTTTTTTATAAAATTTTGATTACAGATTTATAAATGTAAGTTTCAAAGCTATAAGAGATATACTGCAGTATTTTATGCCAGTCATTAAGAATAGTATACTAAGACCGCCTTCTGCTATAGGTGTTGATATTATGCAAGAGGAAAGGTTAGTACAATTTTTTTTTCAAAAGTAAGATAGTGTGATTTCATACTTTTCTTCAATTAATTATTTTGATCCAAAATGTGGTCCTTTTTGGGCTAATAGTTTTATACCAATTGGGTGAGCGTTTATCCCACAAAAGATACCATTTGGGTGAATAAGTATGAATAAGTTTATCATTTATGGGTTAGTTAATTTATGTATTGTAATGTTGTATAGTAATGTACATTGTAAATTGAAAGACAAAGCCACATACAAAATACATCATATATAGTTAATAATAAACTCTTAAATTTAAAAAGATATTGGTATAGTAATATTGTAAAATACAGTCAAGATTATTAAAAATGTTGCAACAAATAAAACAAAACCATATACATGTGCACATGTACATAATAGTAATAGTTGATAAATGAGCCTTATATTTATCAATGTTCTCATCAACGTCACCAGGTTTTTATCTCAAGCAGATAAAAATAATTTCACATTCCCCAACCGACAGAATTTTATTTATGTACCTACATATTTAGTATATGTTTATTATATTTAGAAACATTTATTTTTTTACACTAGTTTAAAATAATTTTTTTCTTAATCATTACTGATCACTGGATAGTAGAGAGTAGATAGTTCAAATATAAAATAAAATTGAATTAGTAAAAAACAATTGATGTGTAGGTATTTGTATTTTTGTATTTTACCGTCTGTGGAGTTCATTTTTTTCCAGGTAAAAAAAGAAGTATTGGTGAAATTTACGTGCCAACCCTAAAATTGACTGCCTATATAAATCTGTGGAATTTACATTCACTTACACTTTTACCCATCTGCTAATAAAGTACATACCAAATTCCTTCCTATTTATTAAATATTTTTTCGATTTAATAAAATGACACTAGGAGTATGATAGTGCTGATATCAATAACAGTCGTAATAAGAACAACACATAAGGCTATTGTTAGGCACACCTGTGTTACACAAATTTATAATTTTGAAAAAACTAAAACAATTTTGCTTTATTTTAAATCACTATCTACAACATCTGTCAAGCAACATACATGTTTCACGCACAACCTAATTACAAAAACTGTTCATTATTTACAGATATAACAAATGTCGCAAGTGTCAAAACATACTCATGGACATTAGGTCATTTGTGCTGAAGAGGCAAACGGCCCAGGGTAACTTGGGAAATGTGTTTAGGCAGTTACATATGCTCTTGCAAACAATAGACATCTAAATGGCAGAGTGAGGACTTTTAGGTTTCTTACTCAGCTGAAAAGACGGCCACTGACCACAATACACTAAACAAGTGGCAAATCTCGTTACTGCGCGTCAATGACACATTATTATTATTAATTTTTTATTATTTTTAAGCCTTGTCAAACTGTTGTCAATGTGTAGTTTTTTTTGTATAATTTGTTAATTTTTTTTTAACTTTAATTTTTAAACGTTTTTTATATTTCTTTTCCGATCATAATAATTTTGTAAAACTAACACCCCGCCATACTTTTAAGCTTTTTGTACCCATTCAACTTTTGTCCTTACCAGCTTTTAAAAGGAGTTCAGAACCATATACATATTATAAATTTCCAAACCAACATGATACAGCCTGTGCACATAATAATAACAATAATATGCTCTTTCTATTTTAACAGCACTGTTTCGTCACATAATAATATATCAATCCAATTCTGTGGACAACGTATGTGTGTAAAATATTCTTCTAAATTGGCTTTCTTTCTTTTTTATTTCTTACCTTTTCTGAAAAGGTCTAAACATGAATAACATTAATAAATACAGCTCTGTTTCTACAGTTATAACAGCTAAGATCACATTTATGTTACCATAAGTACCTACATTTTTTAATGTCGTACATTCATGGATCAAACAGAATAATTGTTTATAAATCATCAACATTATATTTAGAGGAAGCTAAATCGTTTTATTAATATTCTTGTATGCATTATTATCATTTATTATTTTTAAATTACTGTAAGCAATTATTATAAAACATGGCTGTGTTTTCTACTTTTAGAAATACAAAATATTCAGTGTTTTCTATTGGCTGAGTCCGTCCAATATTATAAATTATGATAATTGTATATTAACACCATACTGTTGTATTCACAATAATTATATAATATATATTTTTTTTAAATTACTAATTGAAGAAATTGCTATTCAACCAGAAAAAAAGAAAATTTTTGATGTTATTTTTTTTATCCATGCATAATGTATATTGTTTTAATATAATTTTTGATTTATTTGAGGGATCTCATTTCTGTTGTGTACTGATTGTAGTCAAAAGGTATCTTTAATAATTAGTGTGTAATGTTTTATTATTTTTTTTATTCAGCTACTTTGTAATTCCGCTTTACTATGTTTTTTTCATTATATATTTTATTAATATGTTACAAACTTCATTTTTTTTATACTGATTTTTCATATTTTTTTGAAATCTATTATAGCCTGTACTTTTATTTTGTCTTATATTGTTACATAGATAAATTAAAATGTTTATTTTAAAATACAATATACAATATGAATTAAGTTTCTGAAATTTAGTGTTAATATTTTACATTACAGTATATGTACCTTTATTAAAATAACATTGCCTATTAAAATTATGTTACTCTGTTTTGCGATTTTAAATTGAATGTGTTTAATAATAATTATACTTGGTGAAACAAACAATGTATTTAATTAATAGATAACTAACCTACATAACTTGGATATTTTCAAAACGTTCATAGGTACCATAATTTATTATATTGAAAATATATTTCTGTACAACCATATTTAATCATATTAAATTAAGTTAAAAAATTTGTTTTTTTTTTTTAGTTGCTAATTCAAAATTGTGAAAATAACTTTGTACAAAAAATGACGAGCTTATATTTAACTTTTGGTTTTTGTGCTATAATTACTTAATGATACAGTAAACCATTTGTATTTGTAAGCAATACACTAACCAAATTTTTATGTTGTTTAATTGACTTCAAATGTTTAGTTTAGATTGTCAAGAAGACAATGAACCCTATTTTTTTTTATCCTAATTTGTATAAATATTGAAATCATTCATCAAGATAATACACTGTTAATGGTTTCTATACGGTTTCTCAGTGAAGTGTTACCACAGCTGTTGAAATTATCCTGTTGTCGGTCAAAATACATACAATACATCATTTTGAATTTAAAACATCCACACTACCCTAAACTAACTGCTGAGACTGTCATAAACTGCAGCATATATGTTGCGGTGGACCTGGACGGTTTATTACCTCTGTAGCTGTAACCAAACAGTTTGTTCACTCACTTAAATATTAAATGTAGAACGTTTATTTATACTGAGAAATTCTATGTTGAGAATTTGTTTCATAGTGTAAGACTGCATAAATAATGTTTTGTTCCATAATTTGAAAATCACTCTAAATTAGTGGTATGAAACCGAATACACAGAAACCTCTTTAACAGATTTACATAAGGTGAGTAAACAAGTATTTAATATGAAAGAGATTGAATGTTATACAATCATTACTCTACAATTCTGGGCATTGGTTAGGTATCGAGGAAAAAATAATTTTGAAGTTCGAAGATTTCACAATCTTTAGGCCGTTCTGTAATATTTCCTTTGTGTTCACACACGACCTCAATTCTACAAGATTGATTAAAAAAATTCTTTATTTTTTGTATCACATATTTTAACAAGAAACAAATCAAATATGCCGAAGTAAATTATAATTTTAATAATATTTAAAATTTGGACTAGCAGAGGACTATAATAGGATCACAACTTTTGAGGTTTGCACTTGTCTTTTTTTAATCCTCTCTACTAACCTTAAAATATTAGAATAATTTATTATATGTTTGATACTTACCAATACACCAATTGTTTGTTGAAAAGTAAATTGCTTCTATTTATAAACTTAAAGAAATAAGTTAATTTTAGCTGCATAATATAATTATAATCGATATTGTGCAAATAAGTTTTTATGCGCCGGGCTTCGAGTACTGCAATGCGACAACCAGAATGTTATTATTAAATATCAAACGCCATCTGTGGTCTTTTTGCTAAGCCCTTGAGTGATCGCCTTCTTCGCGGGGCCTCGTGACTTGGTTATTTATTTTTTATTTTTAGTACCTACGTAGGAAAATATTAAAAAAATCAATTTATGGCAATTACTAACAATGATTAGCGAATAAAAGTTTAAACGTTTTTAGCTGTGACAAGAATAAAATAGAAGTAAAACGCATGTAAAGTCTCTTGAAATAAGTTGAAATTAATATTTTTTTTATACATATTCCTTTTTACCAAATAATTCCATGCTACTAAATTCGGACTCATCGAAGTTGGTAAAAACCGCTTACCTATATACGATTTATTTATTTATTCGTATGGCTTAACAAATCATCATTTACAGCAAGATTAAACAATAACATAAAATATAAACATAAACATAAAAACATAATTCAATTCAATTTAGATTGAAGGATTAAGGTTTTATAAATATATAATGTAATATAACGATGCGTAACAGTTTACAGGTGTACATCCAGTTCCCTTATCTACTTTACTGCTTCCGGTGTTATCACGTGGATTCCTTCGAATCCCTGGTTGAATTTCCTTAATTGACATTCCTTTATAATGTGGTTTATGGTTTGTCTGTCGTTGCCGCAATCGCATGCTGGGCTGCCTCGGAGTCGCCATTTAAACATCATATCAGCGCAACGTCCATGGCCTGTTCGAAGACGATTTAGTACAGACCACTCATGTCTAGGCAGTTCCATACCTATAACTCCTTGATTGGGGTCCAGCAACAGGTTTTTGTTTTTGATTGGTATTGTAGAGTTAGTCCATTCCTCGCACCAGCACTTTTTAGTTTCAAATCCTGATCTTATTAGGTCTTTAGCTGTCTTCCAAGGCGGTTTTCTTGATTTTAGTCTGAGACCCACATACGATACTCGTCATCTTTTAAAATGGTATAAATACAACTTGGTAAATTATTGATCGTTTCACACATAATATACTTATTATTGAAATATTATAACATTTTTATTGAATGGAAACTCAGACACTCAATGACAGTTGTGTAGTATTTCTTTTAAACAGAAGAAATTGTGCTACGAAATATGGTAATAATGCATTTACCTTTATTAGTAATCACGTCATTAAAACTCGAAGTGCTTAAATCAGATGCACATTTATGGTTTTCATAAAGAACCGGAGTCGTTTAAAGTTATTTTTTTAATGATATTTCCTTATTTTGGATATAGGTACTTCAATTGCAATACTGCATTTTGTATAATGGGCGGAAAATTTCTAATAGGGAGTTTCTGGGAGTTTGAAAGTTTAAAGAAAGCATGATAAATTATTTTTCGTTTTAATAACATTTTTAAGATTCCAAAAATATAAAACCTGGTATTTAAGATAAGGAGAACGATTTTTCTTAGTAATATATAAATTAATATCAAAGAGTAATTAAAAATACAATTTATCTATTGAAATATTAATGTCAGAATTTAGCTTAAAATAATCAGACCAACTGAAACGAGAGATATAATAAACTAGTAATCGCCATTTTTCCAGTCCCATATATGTTCTAAAAGGAATAGGAGGATTCTACTGAATTGAAGAAAAGTGCCATAGATAAAGAAGGATGGTATTTATCAACTGGGACAATAGAATCACTTGTTAAGTAGTTTTCACTGAAAAAGTAATAGATAGTACAATGTTTAGAGTATTATTGCTATAATTAAGAATAAAGTTTATCTGGAATAAAATTATACAAAAATACATTTTCAAGATTCATGATTTATTTAGGGAAAACCTTTAAATTGTTAAATAAGTTGTTTAAATTAAAATAAGCAAGGAGCAAAAGTTCTTTTTTTGGATTAATAAAATAACATTTTCAATAACATCAGTTTTTAAATGACTGAGGTTGGTATCGATGGAAGTCATTACACACTCCTTCCTACAGTATGGCTTACAAGACACTAGATTACAATTAATATATGACTATACATACAATTCTTGACCAGTTGAACCACATTGCCCATAGTCTAATACTACTCCTTATTCCTCTCAAATAGCTGCTCAGCTCGTTCTACCCTTTACTTTTTCCCCCATTACCAGTCTCAGAAATGCCACAGGACTCTGTCTTTTGCCATCTTCATCACCAGGTTTGATGATTTAACTAGGCTGATTACTCTTTCCAGCTTTTGCTGCTGCTACCTCATCGCAAAGTACACCAATAGGTAGCACGTATGCAGTACTAAACAGGAAATAGATAAGTTGCCTCCTGAATGCTGTCATCTGTTTCTTATTGATATGGTGGACGTTATCTCCAAAACTTACATGGCCAAACAAGATTTGTGTTAATCGAAAGTCTATTCCTTCGTGGTTTTTTCCAACCCATTGTCTCATACCTCTGATAACCTCCCAATATACTCATTGGTTTTCTGGACTATTCTCTCTATGGCTATATTGATTTTCCTTCTGGGGGAATGATCGACCTCGATGTATTAGTAGATCAGGAGAGTAGATTTAGAAAACAGTCAGTAGACTCAAGGCTAGTATCGTTGGTGGGGGCTGAACCATTCCATAATATTACTATCAGCACAACAGAAGAGATAAAAGCTACTTCTCCTGGGTGATTTTATTTTCAATAAGAGGCATTGGACTGTAATCAAGTGAACAGTTTAAGTTCATCATCAAACGGTCGAAAAATTCAAAGTAAAAAGTACCCTGCCAGGCTCCTCACCCGAGAAATAT